ATCAAAGCGTACTTTTTTAAAGTCTTGACAGACGCTCGTCGGCAAACATCTACATCACAATTGATCTCGGCTGTCAATATTTTTTCAATCCCAGCGAAATTTTTGTTGCTTCGCGCAGATTTCGTCCCTCGAGTAGCACCTCCAAAAAGGAAGGACACGCGCGCACGGACGGGGAGAACAACGCAATCCCACCCAGAGCCAAGACCTCCTCGTGGTTGGTACATTTCAATCGTTGAGAGTCTCTCTTTTGCTGGAGAGATAGGAGGAGGAGAGCTCCAGTTCCGGAGCGAGCAGGTTTTCATCGGCGGTCATTGTACCGTGCGCGCCTTCCCTTCGAAGAGCGAGGTAATAGCGCGTGCGCGAGTGCAACGATCCGCCACAGCCGTGAAGCGCGCGCGGATTAAAATCAGATGCCAAGGTATCGCGCGCGGTCCTTTGGCGAGCAATTTTTCGGCGTGCGGAGCGGCGCTTCGCTTTTTCGAAATGAATTTTTCCTCCGGTTTACTTTGTTGGAGAAGTCCCTGAGAATCGCGTGTGGGCGCACGAGAGCGATGATTGTGATCCACCATTGTGCGGATAATCCTTCACTTCCGATAGGATCACTCGCTGGTCGCTCAGCTGCTTCTTATTCTTCTTCTTCCTCCTTCTCATCTTCCTTTCCTTTCCTTTCTCTCTCTCTCTCTCTCTCTCTCTCTCTCTCTCTCTCTCGCTCCTCTCTCTTCATACTTTCCGCACGCACTCTTTTCCCTCCATCATCCCGCTTCACTTCCCTTTCTCGCACGCTCTCGCCAATCTGATTTCACATTCTCTCTCTTCTTTCTGCGTAATTACTGCATTTACTGTTAGGATTTGTATTACGCAACTCGACGCTTCTCAGCCAATTGCGCCAAGATTTGTTTTGACGAATTCCGTTTTATTTTTTTGTTTTTCTGTTCTTTTTTTGGTAGCGAGCGATCGCTATCAGATAATCAAACTCATTCGTTACGTATGCTCTCGCATTTGACATTCGATCTTGATAGAACGAAAAGGAAGTTACTAGATAGTACGAAGTACCGAAAGACAAAGACACTGTATAGATATCCTGACCTTTGTTTTCGGTCGATTGACTCTTGTCGCTGCTCTTGTTGTCTCATTAAAATAACGAGGCTCTCAGTGGGTACCGTTCACTTTCTTTTTTTCTTTTTCGGTCGTCGATGTCGACTTAACGAGGCGGCAATTCGCCAAAGCTCGCTTCGAAGTAATCGTTCTATGCTAATACTGCGGATAATCTTGTTTTATGAATTTCCCATGATTTTTTGCAGCTATTAGCTACTTTCGACGAAAGTTTGGAATTCAAATTTTGTGCAGATTAGGGCATAATTTTTTTTTGCGATGAAAGTTTTGACTGATGGGTCTAATTACGCCTTTCACTCCAACTATAAGTTTGGTAATTTTTGTTTATTGCACGAGACTGTCAAAGCAGCTTTCTAAAAACAATTTAGAAGAAAAACTGTTTTTCCCATCGTATCATGAAAATCGATCGGCTAAGCGTCCATGTCGCGCACAGGTGCTCTCATAGAAAAAGACCACCCGCAATTAATTGATACATCGACTACCAGTCATGAATCATAGCCAAGGCAGTGTACTTTCAAAAGGAAAAAAAATACGCCGGAAATCAAAAGATAAAGCACACACACAAGACGTAACGAAATTCCATGTTGACTTTTATTTATCCAATTATACGTTCTATAGGTATGTATATGTCACGAATTATCAAAGCACTAGAGCCGCTCGCGCAACTTTCACATGCGTCGAAGATCTGATGGAGAGCATTTACGAACAAATTGCTGGAAGGATCCTGCCGTGTCGTTCGGCTTCGACTCTATGATCAATTATGAGGGTTTGAGCGGCAATGTGGAGAAGAATTGTATTAATTCGAATTTTTGACGAATGAGTGCTACACACGCCGGATTGTCATATTGATTAGTTGGACACGTAAAGGAATCAATTTAATCCATCAGTCTTAAGGAATTTCTTAACAAGCAAAACATATTTTCTGAAAGATATTCCACTAGTTTTCGATGTTGCACACAATTTCCTTTTCGTAATTACCGTAACTTTTACCAATTACAAAAATACCAGCTTGCAATTTGATTGACTTATCTTTGAAAATAACCGTAAATGTTCGGTTGTCGATTCTAATCTTCGATCTCACGGATAACAAATTATTCGTACCTATACGCCATTGTGACAAAACAGGAACGACGCCTGTCACTTTTTATCGAAAAAATAGGCCAAACTTTTAGCGTTAAAGCATCGCTGCATTGCATCATTGCGCTCTCTACACACACGCACACACACACACACGATCATTACAAGCTCTCTCTTTCTCTCTCTCGCGGTAGTGGCCTCATTAGCATAAACGACCTGTTATTGCCTGGCGAGACATATGCCTCTCGAGTTGCGCGTAGCGCGGAGGCGTTGCACATCTGTTTTATCTTGTATATATTATATATCCGGACGCGCATGAAAGTTATATTCTCCTCTCGCGCAAAGTGGAAATGAACACGTTCTAGTTTTTTGCGGCGGCTGCATCCTCTCGCTGTATCGAGTCTGTTTGTTTTAATTTTTGGTCCGCCACGCTTGCTCGACTCATTTCCTGCCCGGGTGAAAGCTCGCGACTTAAGCGGTGAATTAATTTTGAAACGCGCGCAGCTGTAAAATGAAATTGAGTATTGTTTTCGTCTGGTTAACTAATTGCGCCGAGTCGTTTTCTCACATAGCTCGGCACGAGTGCGACACGGGGAAGACGCTGTAAAGATTTTCCGCGATCGCTCCGAGACAAAAGTCCACCGTTGCAAGCTCGTAAATTAGAAGCGAAAACGCGCGTTGTCGTTTTTTTTTTTACGACCGGACGTCCATTTCCTGAAAAAACACAACTTTTTCTCTCAGTTGTAATTGATTACATGCATGCTCGCGAGTATCATCTTACACGCATCTCGCTTTATCTCGTTAGAGCTGTCAAGCTTTGATAAAAAGAAAAAAAACAATTCACTCAAGAAATTTCTTTGACAACGTAATACACACCATCTCTCTCTCTCTCTCTCTCTCTCTCTCTCTCTCTCTCTCTCTCTCTCTCTCTCTCTCTCTCTCTCTCTCTCTCTCTCTCTCTCTCTCTCTCTCTCTCTCTCTCTCTCTCTCTCTTTTTCTTCGAATTCGATAAATTACCATAAGTCCCTTTCAGGCAGAGCGCGTGTATACTAATTGGACATGGCATGCGGCGACGGACGCATTTGATTTTCCCGCGAGGAATCGTCTAATTGGATATGTATGTAAAAGTTATATCAAAAAGTTTTTCCGACGCGGCTGGGATAATGAAAGCTTACATAATATTGAGTTTGAAATCGCGATCTGGACGTCTTGATTCCACACATGCACGAGTGAGTGCAGGCATCACCTATATGACGAATGAGCTGCTCGTGGCGTCTCTCTAACGCGCCTTCGCGTCTACAGATATTACCTGCAGGGCACACAACTTCGCTCATCTTAGAGCAGGAGCTAGCCAACGGGATATTTCGTGGATGTATCCGCGTGTATGGAATTCAGCTTACTCAGATTTCGAAGAGTGTGCGCCGTATACCTTGCTATTGACGAGGCTTTTCATTCACGCTCGAGCGTGGATTATAGAGGTCGAACCTTTTGATTCGGAAAATTGTCTAGCTGTTTATGGAAAGAAACACGCGAAGAGAAAAAAAATATCTAGATACACTATTGTAAATTCAACCACGCTCTTGTTCAAAAATCCATAAATTACCATCAAAAACCAATGATCGCTTCCCTACAATCGTCTTTTCCCCGCTAGCAGACGATAACTTTCCGCGTAGCGATAAATAATTCATCGTCATCGCGCGCTTACATGCAAAATCATGTAGAACGCTGCAAAAACACGCTCTGCCACACACTGAATGAAGTCATCCGCGAAAGCGCCGAGGCGTATCGTATACATACTCGACGCGGAGAAGAAAAAAAAAATCGTCTGTACGCGAGAGAGGCGGAAGAAACTCGTGCGCGATCGTGAGCCTCGAGGCGCATTCTGCGTGTATAGATTCTTCACGCATCATACGCAGCGCACACGCGAAAAACGAAAGTCATCTCTCTCTCTCGCGCACGCGCATGAAAAAATAAAAAACTCGCGAGTTTTGTTTTTCATGTTCGAAAAAAAAAAAAAATTCTCACGTCTCGCGCTGAATCACCTTGGCTCATTAAACGCTTACGCAACGAGCTTCAAACCCTTCGTTGCCTTGAGATAATTGCGGTGATTTTGTTTTATTGTCAAAGGTCGCGACTTTGAAGGAATATTATCACGTTTGATGATAATCGCTGGCAGAGGGGATGTCTCTTTATTGTTACAGGAGGTTTAGCTTGATCGCTGAAAGTCTGTTGGTAAGATGTATACAAGTATCTTACATCGATATCGATTTCAACATATGCATGCAATCTACACATTAATCCAATTAAGAAGCCAGCGAAAAGCCATATAAATACATATCAAACATGGAAAGCATGAAAAATCATAATAAAGAAGCATATTGGCATGCAGAAAACATTCTTTTCGTAATTGGGTCGTAAATCGAAAATTAAATTTCACAATAAACTAGATAACGAATGGAAAAACTTACTATCAAAAATTAGAAATGTAATTACGCAGAGAAATTTCACGTACATATGCATACAGCCGAGGGATGTACCATGTCGAATTTAATGTTCATTAGAGTAGCCTTGTGAAACGGCAACAATGCAATATAATGCGCGATGCTGTATCTGCTTGATGTAACATCCAGAAAAAAACTCTAATAGTATTTGATTCTTTGGGACTTTAATTTGTAAAAACCGCGTGACACATTTCGTGGCCACCTCTATATCCGAAGCGGGTACAAGATTCATACACAAAAAGCATTTATAGGTTTTACTCATGCTCGGGGAAAAGAATTCACATGCTATTAGTGAAAGTGTCAACGTACCCTGAACCAAGTGGCCACCTGCGGGATTTTTTAACCCACGCGAACATAAACAGAAAAGAGAGACACGAAATGGAGATTTGCAATTTTGTTTTTTTTTTAATAAATAAACGAGAGGGCTTATCGTTACATGTGCATTCTAAGAAAAGTGCGAAAGTACTTATCCGAAATTTGGTTGATGATTTTTTAATGAACGCCACTATGCACGTCATTGCAGTTCGAGAGAAAAGCTCTTTTTTTACACCGTTACACAAAGCTATTACAATTCTCTCTCGTAATGTAATACGCAAAGTCCAATAACCCCGAGACCGTAAAAGTGTTTTGACGGTGAAAAAAGTTACACGAATGAAAAGAAAAAAACAAAATGAAAGAACACTTTTTTGAAGAAGTTCATGGAGATCGATAATCATGCCAATATCTCACTGCTGACCAGTCGAGTAATTAAAATTCGTCAAAGTCGAGAGAAGCATCGAGTAGTCTCTAGGAAGAGAAAGCTCGTATATGATCAATCCCGTGGCCTTGCTAAGCCATAAATAATCGCTTTGTATGTGTGTGATGTCGATACGTTCTATTTATACGTATACGTTCGCACTTTTCTCCTCCTCGCAGGAGGCTGATTGTGGGCGAGTCGCCGGACACTTTACAAATTGCCTTTTCTTGTAATAAAGTCGCTCGGGCATATACGTTGATAGCCAGCTCTCCACGTTAAAAAAGGAACATCCAAAAAGAATTTGCCGAAGCTCTGGTTATTTATTAATCGCCTTATCTCGCACTCCCCCAACGCTACGAGGCGAAAACTATCTTCTTCGTCTTCTTTTTAACGCGCATTACTCTCTGTCCGAGAGAGGTATATTCCTTCGGCGCCCCCGATGATGATTACGAAATTCACATGCGCGCGCGCGTTCGCGGATAGCCCTCGCTGTTGCGGATGCTTGCCTCGGATGTATTACAGATCGGCTTTTGCTTTTCCTTTCTTTTTTCTTTTTTTCTCCTCCGTGGGGGCTTTGACTGACAAATGGAAAGGGATTTCGCATGGCGGTCGAATGATCTTTCATTTTTATCGATCGCGTTGCGTGCCTTCAAACGGACTTTTCAAACGCGTACAGCAGACGTCAGTGCTCCACGATTGTTATGCCCATTTACGAGGGTCGCCGGCATCGTCGCAAAGCAACATTTCACTGGCCAATAAAAGCATAATCATCGAAAATAACCATCAAATTCGCGGTAGCGACAGCTCGTAATGCCTTGTCAAGCCTTACACTTTTAAGTCCCTGCTAACGAAAGAAAAAAAAACACAACGAAAAAAATTCTATTCATAACTCACACGTTGAATCGATCAAAAATTAGCCTCATCACGTCAATCTCCGGTCGAGACCGGACAAAAAAAAGATTTTTAATCGAGGTGCAACTTATTTTTACTTGCCGCTAGAACTACACGTGGTAGTAGTTGAAAGAAAAAAAAAAAAGAAGGAAACGACCGTGAAATCGAGATGAACCTGCGCGTACTTTCACTGATATCCATCCCGATGCAGAGAATATTACGTCGGCGATACATGCGTAACGGACTCTGCGGTTTTTCCGTTTCTATAGAATCTCTCTGTGGAGAGGTGTGTCCCGTTATTATCAAGCGCAATTGCATCCGACTGATACGACGCCGACCGTAAAAATTGTTCGGTAAAGATAGGCTTGGCTTGAACAATCGTTAAAATAACTTTTCGATGCGAAGTATTTTCTTCAAATTAACATGGTATTATCAATAGAACCGCTGCTCGTTGATCGTCGTCAGACACTCGCGCTCGTCGAAATCTCCCTTAGATCTCCCGCATCGCCTCCATAAACCAAAGCCCGTTATCCGCCGCGAGTGACAAAAAAAATAAAAGTGCGAGTCCCAGCGGAATTCGCAATTACATAATCAGATAAGCGAGCAGCAGCGGCGGCGACCGCGCGAGTTAAGTGTACATATTCGTGTATAAACGAGGTTCGTTGACAGAGCCGCAAAAAACTCTCCCTCCCGCGAGGTACGGCGTATAAACGCGACATTAACGGCATTCTGCAAGTTCAATCGAGCGTGTTCCTTCTCGCGCGGAACGGCGAATTTAGAAAGTTGCGAAAATTCGAGCTCTGCTATATGCATTTATTTATGGCAGCCTTGGGTGCGCGTTAACCGCACGACGACAAAAGCCACGTGCGTCATTCGTCAACGCGACAACTTTTTCGGCATTGATCAGCGCACCCGCACGGTCGGCTTTTAACGGCTAATTGACATGCCTTGACCGTCGGCAGCCACGGCTAATCAGTGTTATTAGTGGATACGCATAGGCTGGAGCGCTAATTATTTTTGTCTGGCAGCGATCTCGCCCACGTGTGCGCAGAGTGAGGGGAAGCTCTCAAAATGGTGCAATTTCATACGGATCTACCAATTTATGCTTTCACAGGTGACACTTTTTTCTTCGTTGTCGGCATTTTATCTCTCAGTGCTTTTTCTCAATTGTGCAAAATAATTGAAAATTGCGAGTACAAAAGCAATTTTCCAGTGAGTGCCATAACTTTATCCAATATATATGTACAAAACAAAATATATTTGCTTGCTTCGAGAGCCAATTTTTGTAAGCGATTGCGATAAACGACGTAGAAAAATATTGCTTTCTCGAAGCGAACAAATGGCCAAGCACTTAGACACATTATCACATCGAACATTGAAGTGTGTAAGTTTTATTATCGGTGCCTGTACCTCCTATGTAATCCGTGGTAGAAGGCAATGCATGTTGGACATAAAAAAGAAACAGACGAAACACGCGTGAATAAAAATATACCTGAAAAAATTCCCCCTTCTTTTTTTTTTTTTTTTTCTTGAAAGCAGTAAAAGCTTACATCGACTACATTTTCTTTTGTTTTTACTCAATTTTTTTTAAATACCACAATACTCACACACACGCGCGTACACACTTTTACACGATAACTACGTGTGATTTCTACAAGTTTGTCTCGCGTCGAAGACCGAGCTTATCTCACGTCGAGTTCTCTGGATCTTCGTCGTGGACAACGTCAATTTTGTTTTTTTCAATACGGACAAGAAAATTTTGACACTTCGACGAGACTCACATTGCGGCAAGCTCACGATACACGGTGAATCTCGAAGAATTACACAAACGATATCGCCAATGACTGTACGTAAAAGCCAATAACCAGAATAAGAATAGAAAGAGGAGGACTGAGTGGAGGCTGCTCGCTAAGAAGGTGCACTCAAGAAAAAAGCCCTTTTATCGGCATCGTAGTGCGCGTTATATCTGAGGGCATAAACATCAAGGAGCACGTCGACTCAGTCAAGGACGCGACCCTGCGAAGGTAACCAGGAATTAAAAAAGAAAAAAGGCGAGGGGGAGGGAGGGGGGGGGGGGGGGGGAGAAATGAGCTGCACGGCGAAACTTTACGACGGTATAGGCTGCGCCGCGCGGAATGCCTATGCGTAGAGAGGCTCGATTCTTCGACAATATCTCCGGCGTGTGCGATTAGATAACTACCGCGCTTTGCAAACGAAAAACAAAATCCACGCTCGCGACTTTTACCGCGGAAACGGCAACCAAAGGCGCCGCGACCTTGCCGATAGCAGGCAAGAGCTCAAACTCTTAAAGCAGGAACTTTGTGCTTCGGGTTGGCGGAGCGCGAATCGACCCGCGAACTTGCCCGATAACGAAGGGAAAGGGAGAGACGTCGCAGGCTCGCGTGTTCTTTGCTCGCGCAAAACACGCACGCTCTCACGTAATCTTTATGCGCTGCTCGAGCCGTGATAAAGAAAGTCTGAGTCCTACCTTGGGTAGAGAAGCGAGACACTGCTGTTTCACGTCCCAGACGAGTTGATCCTTGGGGAATTGCAGACACTTGCTGACGCAGAGCTCGGGCACGTGGATGCGCGCCAACAAGATGCCGTCGTCCAACGGACCTTGCTCCTCGTCGGCGTCGTCCTGAGTCTGCGGTGTCGCAGCCGCAGGCCCACCTGACACCTGCTGCTGCTTACTAGGTACCGCCTCCATTATCGCGGGCGGACCTATCGAGATATATCCTCAACGCGACATATCACATCTGCAACATAGACGTTCGGGCGCTCGCTTTATTTCAATGTCCGTGGAGGTGTGCTCGCGAGGGCAGAGAGGCCGAATACCTCGTTACGCGCGCACAATTTCGGCCTCGTCCCCGGCTGAAAAGAAGATTATACACAGCGATCATGAAAGAGCGTCGCGAGAGGCTTTCGAGGGGCCTAATGTCCGCAATTTTCGTGTGCGTGGCAACGACCTCGGTTGCGCTCCTACACACGCGCGCGCACACGCTTCTTTTTTTTGGCGTGACAGTGACTAATCGATTGCCGTGTGCTTAGCGAAAATCGCGCTGACAGTCAGGGTAAAATCAAACGACCTGTTTGTTTATGTGGACGACGCCGGGTATTTTCTCGATCGCGATCTGATTTTGTATGAGGGGAGCAACAACAATAACAATAACAATAACAATAACAACAACAACAACAACAACAACAACAACAACAACAACAACAATTATACGCATGAAAGAGATCCATTCATTCTTCTGTCGGGCCGTTGCGGTACCATGGGCGCTGCAGTGATTCGCCTTTCTACAGGGCATTTCATGAAAAATGATGCTCGCCGCTGATGACCTTCCGCTTCGCCAAACGCCTAACGAAAATCATCCTTTACCTTGCGCGCGCCTAATTAACGATGTGACCTTGAATTATACCTCACTTTTTTTATCGATGGTTTTATCAACGAGCGAAAGGGTGTCACAAGTTGGCGGGAACTTTGCGAAAGCGTCAGCTTTACGAAATTTCGTCGGAAAATCTGCGCGCGCAATTCGTCGACTTTGTTGGAAGTCTCAAGCTTCGCATAACAGAATATTTCGGTCGACGGAATTTTTATTAGCATCAGAAAAAACGTGGATAAAAAAAAATGTATCCTCAGGGGAGGCATTTTGGCTTGTTATTAAAGTTACGGCGATACGATCGGGTGGTCCTCTCACTTGCGGGCGCGAACTCGTTTTAATTTCGCGCTGGCATCGTAAATTAATCCCACAATTATGCTCGCATTATCGCGAATCTTGCGCGATTTGCATCGCTCGCCTTTCTCATCCTCGAGAGGCGTGTTCGTTTTCTTTATTTATTAATTCGATGGAAATTGATGAAGCTCCCAAATTACATCTCGATTCCGAGAATTGGATTTCGCGCGGATAGACGCATAATATTGAAATTTCGTTGGAAGTAAAGTGAAAGAAAATTAACATAATCAGCAGCTTGGAAGTCACACACGTAACCAAAATTCTGATTCGCAGACACGCGAGACACCCAATCGATAGTTCGCCTTCTTCATATACCTCGAGGCATATACACGCGTCTCCTCGTTGTTCCTTCGTTGCACTTTCACTTGCGACGATGCTGGCCAACATTACGTCGCATTCAACTCAATTAGCAAAACACTGTTTTTTTTTCTAGCGAAACGTTCTTCGGTATCTGCTCGAGAAACGCTTGATTGTAAGTTCTCATTTCGCCTTGCGTATAATCGACAACGCGCGCGTGTGCGTGTGCTCAACGTGCAAGCATTGTTTACAATCAATTCGACCGGGCAAAAGGTAACCACTAATGAGGGGATCTCTCCTCGCGTATACGTTGTGTATTGTGTGTGGTCTAATAACCCAGCAGGTGGTAGGGAATGCTACTCGCGCAGACGGTTGAGAAGTCGCGTGAGGCGATGAATCATCATTTCGACAACAAAAAAATGGAAACAAGACAGCACCACAATTATATATCGACGAAAGTTTGCATTGGGTGCCATAGTCATGATTATCATAACTTTTTCTGTCGCGTCCGTTAGGTCTGAGCAAACACTGCTGGCTGTTTGAGTTTTAGTGATTAAGGTACGCGGATACGTATCATCAACGTATTGCTTGATCAGCTTTGTCAATGCGTATTGAATACACTACTTCTAAGCAACAAAAATTTAAGGCCAAACGATTTACGAATTCCGCCTTTTGTGGGCAGATTCCTCGAGTCTGTAGTTTTTTCAAGAATTTGGAGAATCTTGAAAGAATGAGAGAAATTTCTCCAGCAATGAGAGAAAGAGAAGGAAGGAAAACTTGCAGCTAACCGATCTTTCAAAACAATTCGAAAACCACCAAGTCGCAAAAAATAGTTTTATTAGATTTCTAGAAATCATCGTACAATTTCATCTGCCAAATGAACGCGGCAAACACACGGCAATTGAATCGTCGTGAGCCTTGATACTCTTTCGCGCGTGTGACGCCGGTAAAGACGCTTGGTGTGTGTGTGTGTGTATGTGCGTATATATCACAAACCGCAAGGCATCAAAACCGCAAACGCGATTCGACCTTTATCTTCGACCTTTATCGCGCGCGGATAAAGGTATGTTCCATGGGATTCAGACAATTGTTTATGCAAGTTAGGTCCTCGTTTCCGAAGTGAAAAATATTTCATGAAATCCGCGATACGTCGAATCGAACTGCAGTGAAATAAAAAAAAAACTGAAAAGTCAGACGAGCTTCCGCAAGAACTACGATTCCCGAATCCAAATGATAGAGAAATGATATTTGCGCGTGTGGATCGTGCGACGGCATCCTCGCGCGTTCGCCATAGCGGCAATCAAACCCGTTACATTGCTACTGCGCTTACACACTTCTCACTTGCCTCCCCATTTTGCGAACCGCGAAACGCTTTTAAACTGGCGCGTTTCAATCGAAACACCCGCGAGAAGGAGAAAATGTAGGCATACACGAAGAAATGGAAGCGAGGATGCTGGAGGATCCGTTGCGTATACATCGCTGCTGCGCATATCTTTCGGCGACGGTGTGCCTTTTGCCTGGCGCGCCGTGCGAAACGCAAAGAGAGCGGAAATCGCGCGCGCTCGGTTCTCTCCTCCGCATACACGCCGTTTGTTCTGTCGCGTCTAGGCGGTTTATCCGATGGGCTTCGCTTTTAATAAAGTTCTTCGATATTTATGCAGTGCCCGAGCGCTCGGCTCTCGTAAAAACTGTGCAGCCGCCGCGGCAAAGGATACGACGGCGTCCGCTTGGAGTCTGTGTCGACGAAAAGGAGAAAAAGACCGAAAGTCGAGGAGAGAGAATGTTCATATACAGGCAATAAAGTATAGCAGGCGCGGTAATTAATCACGCGCGCGCGCGTTCAAAAGCAAATTAATCATTACGTATGTATATAACCGAGCAGTGCGCAGGCAAGCAAAGTGCATCATCAAGCAACGAAAGCACACGCGCGCAAACGCAAACAGCCATCGCACCTCGTTACACCAATTTCGCGTTTAAAGATAAAATAACGTAGCTGTGCATTTTCCCCGTAGAGCTCATTATTATACAGCTACTTTTATACTAGCCTCGCTGGCTTCCAGCTCGCAGCGAGTACACTTTGACAGCCCGCCGACGGCGCATTTTCAATTACCGTGCCCGTGTTCTAATATCAGTTTTGAAGCTGGAGGACGAGCAAAACGACGCCTCCGCGCGGAAAAAGAGAAAAAATCACGTCGCGCCGTCGGGCGCTCGACGACTTGAAAAGCAAAATCGCAAAAACTCAGCGCGACCCCTGGCACCTAATCAGCCAACGAACTCTTCTCCCTCTTCTCGTCGGTGAAATCGATCGAACCGCGCGCGCGGCACCGCGGCAACTACGACGGCCGACGACGACAGACCACTTGAGAAGGAAAAAGAAGCGTCCCGCGCGCGACGCATATTGAGAAGCAAACAAGGTCAAAGCTCAGCTAGCGAGACAAGTGGCGCTTGCGCGTCCGCATCGCCCCTGCGCGCACGTACGTATACGTGCGGAGCAGTTCGTTCACCCCCTTCTCCTTCGATCTTCCGCGTTATAACGAATTCCGCAGCAGTCTTCCGTGTATACGTTCCTTCGCCTCCCCTGCGCACAAGACAAGAGGCAAGGTTATATAAGCGAAATAGGGGGATGAATCCGAGGGAGAGTTAACTGACACGTGTAACGTTTGAAAGGTGCTTCCCGCCCGGGGAGCGGAAAGAAGGAATTTCGAGGCAAATTTTGTCATTGACGGCGCGCTGCCGGAAATAAAGAATACCCTGGATTTGCCGAGCGCCCGAAAACAGTTGCACTGACCTATATATTCCAGCGATCGATATTGCAATTTTCATCGGCGCCTACAAATGTATCTAGTCAGCAAGAAAGACGTACACGCGCAAAGAGTATCCTTTTTATTTTCTTCTGTAATTAAACGAACCTGCCGTAAATAACATCCGCGTCAAAGCTATACGACCGATAAATTATTCGCTCGCAAATGTGAAGAAAAGAATAGCGGCAACATTGAATATTCCAAAAAAAAAACATGACCTCATCTTTGACATCAAAATTGCATACTGACTCATTGAAAGAGAAACGGTCACGTGATGAGCTTCGCACTGCATTATACATATTTATGCGTTGCAGCGTTAGTCGCAAAAGATGACGGGGTAGAGTCGACCGAGGGTGCGGAAGATAACGAAGGGCTGCTTCTACTGCACTCTCAAGGGGGCACAGACTGTAAGGGTTGTCAATTTTACGCAAAGAAAATATTTCAGTACGACGGATATTAGAAGTCACTGTGATTCGGCAAATCGTGTATACCACACTTTAACCCGTGAACGAAAAAAGGCACGCGGCTGTGTATGTTTACGATCGGAAAACCAGTAAATACGCGCGCGCGCGCGAAAGGCAAGCATATATGCCGAGAGATACGATCAATTTGTCAGTAGGGAAAATTTTCTCCCCGAGAGAAAAGCAAGCGCATGCGCCTCTGGATACTAGCTCGCGCGCGCCTTCCTAGGGGTCGACGGGCGCAAAGAAATCGTCGTCGGGAAATACGCGGGCGGGAGGGTGGCTCTCGGGCACCACGATCGCCGCAATTTCCTCGTCGGCGGGGCGCGACGGCCCGGCCTCGATTTCCAGACAGCCAGGAGCGGTTCGGGGGGAGGGAGGAGGGGGCGGAGGTCGCGCGCGAGACCGCGCCGCACGCAAACGCGACAAATCGCAGCGCAGGCAGCGAGAAGCAAAGCAAGCCAGCATCCACCTTGCTCCCTCGTCAGCGCCCCCGTCGCGCGCGCAGCCACCTGAGATCCGCCCTTCGATCGATCGATTACGGAGGCACATACTAACCCTGCGACACGCTACATCGACATCCTCTCCTTTCTACTTTTTCCTACGCGGTACTTTTTATTTACGGCGACAACACTTTCTTTTTTTTCTTATTATTTTATCTGGCACTCTTTTCTTTTTGCAGCACTTTTCTTTTATTGACAAACTACACTACACTGCTGGAATGACAACGACACACTTGGATACCGGGCTGGTATAGAGAGAAGAAAAGGTCGGCTGAACTCACACTCTCGCGCGTGATAATAGAAGGAAAAGTCGTCCGAGGAAGGTACGCGAGGAGGCGACGATCAGTCCTCGGCAGGTTACATCCCGCGACTGCTGGCCGGTTAGATGGCGCCCAGCCAAAGCAGCAGCGGTCTCGAGTATATTCGCCCCCCCCCCCTCCAGCAGCGGCGTATGGAGCGTATGGATGTAGCTGTTTCAACGAGAGATGCCTGCGCAGGCGCTACGCGAGCAGGAGTGGGGGGCGCTAAAAGGACTGTACGCCAGAGATGCGGTTGCCCAGGTAACCATTGCCAGATCGACCGGCTGCCTGCTCTGCTCTACCTAAGAGAGCACGCACGCACACACGTACGGCGAAGCGCGGCTGAGTGCGTTGTTACTAGTCGCGAGCTTTTGCGCGATGAGCTTTTTTTCGACTCCCGGCCTATGCGCGCGGCTGCAGGCGCGCGCTCGCAAGCCATTTTTTTTTGCGCTTTGCTGATTGCCATTTCACATGCTAATCCGCTGTATGTGTGTGCCTCGCCGGCGCTAGAGTGTGGCATACATTGTTGTTCTTTCAGCGAACGTTTCGACAGCTTTGGGTTAACGACGCTCCTACTCTCGTAGCGCGCAGATCATCGAAGGCTACGGCATAACGTAAATTCGCAGCGAACGCCGCAGCGGGGATAAAAACGAATAATTGGAAAAGTCGATGAGGAGGAGGAGAGAAGGAAAGAAGCGAACGTTTATTCGCTTTATTTCTCCCCGGAGTGGCACACTTTTGCATCTTCGTCCTGGAGCGTTTTTACTATTTCATGCCGCCGCTCTAGTTTTGCTTGGCAGAGTGTACATTACGGGCCGCCTCGGTTGACTCTTCCCCCGTTTCCCTTTTTGTTACTCGCCTGCATCGTACTTTTCTCCTGCGGCATTACATCGGCATTTGTTTTATCGTTTTCGCGCGCGCATTCTCGCAACGCGAGAACCCATTAATTAAGTAAAACAAGCGGCTCGAGCTGTACACGAAAGTGATCTCTCTTTCGGGTAATGAGAACGAATTGTTGTGCTTTTACTCGTGAGGCGCGAAACGATGACCAATTATCTTCGATAGTACTGTTTTTTTTTACCTTGTCTTTTACTGCCGATGTGTCGAACGACAGACAGCTCGGCACCCAAAGGCCCCTTCGACTCGCTCCCTAATATGTATTCTCTTTCTTTTTCGTTGACTTGACGAATTCGAAGAGACGTTCTCTTTCTCGTCCCTTCTCGCGTGGAAACGTCGAATTTTATCGTTGCATTATTTATCGACGCCGTGTGCCCGCCATCGATTTGCCATTTGGCGAAGTGAGATTATGGTCGCGCGCGGCGCCCTGCCAAAGTGGACGCAACTCAATTGCAAGAGAGAAAAAAACTTTTTTTATTTTATTTTCACCGCGACGAAGCCCTTCCCATCGACGCAGTTGTACGGCCGCTCGTTCCGCCACCGAGTTTTATGCTATTGACAGACTTTTCCACGTAAAAACGACGACGGCGCGGACGTCACGGCGAGTGGCGACTGTATGCGACATATTTTTTATTAGGATGGTGATTTTCGTGCTTGTGAGTTTAAATAATTTGTTGTTTGACAAATAAAGGCAATGATCTCTTTTCTATGTTTTTTTATTGCAAATTTAACTATGATTCGAATATAGAATACCCAATCGACCAATGAAAACATTAAATAAATTTGTAACGTGTAAATTGATCAAACATCATTTAATTTGTAATTAGCCTCGTTCATTAACTGCTATCTTAATTCAAACGTAACGTTCATTTTCGTGCTTAAAGTTGTATGAACTACTAATAAATTGAATTCAATCGCTAAAATTAATAGACTTCAAATAAAATAAATCAATTGAATGAAAAGTAGAAGCACTCAATGTTCTAGCACACAGCGCATAAGTCAGCAGCAGAGCGTTCGCTTGGTAAATACCGAGAGGCGTCAGAGAGTATGCAAATTGCCCGGTTAACCGTGAAATTTAGCAGCTCGACAGGCCACTCTAATTTCATTTGGCAATTCTCAACTAAAAGCAGGCGCTTCGAAAGAACATAATGTGTGCGCGACTCTGTCAGTGAGAAATCCGATGCGATCTGCGGTTTCTGCGGTGTCAATAAGATGTCAATGTACATTTGCATGTTTACGGGCAATTACACTCCTCGAGATACCACGTTTATCTTTTTTCAGTTTAGATTGACAAATAACTAGTATTTATACCGCCGTTCACGCTTTATTGTAACGCTTATCGAAATGCACATACCAACTGCTATCTTTTTGTTTTCTTTAACGAGATTCAATAATATAGCATTCAATGTGCGAAAATAAGACAATATCGCGGATATATACTTGCCACTTTAGCTAACCGGAATGACGGAATGTGAAAGTATGCTGCACGTGTACAAACGATATTGTCTTAATAAATGGAGCAATTTTCAGTATGTACGCGTGTTTGATTTCATTCGCCATGGAGAATGCGACTTATTAATTACGAAATATATGTTCGCGATCCATCGGCCAAAGTCGTGTCTTGCCCGCAATTACATTCAATGAGCTCCCTCGGTTTCATTTCATGAGTCTTTTTCGATAAAAGAATATTTCCTCTCCAAGTTGGGAAAGAAAACGAATAATGGCACAAGGGCAAGGCACACAACTAACGAGGAGATCGAAAAATCAGTCGTAGCATTGCTGCTCTCTTCGCCACGGCAGAAATAAAAAAAACACATCAGAGCGATTCAGGAAGCCCTTCAAAGACTTCACAGAGAAAAACAGAGACGCGATGACGGCCGGATTTGTTGTAGGAGACAAGTCGCTGGAAAATTTCTGTGAATATCACTCGTGAA